GGGGCCAGTCGGAGGCGGGATTGGCCAGTTCTCCGAACTACTCAAAGTTTCCGCTACCGGTTCTCCAGAACCAGACAGAACCTGCCGAATACCACCTCTGATCCCAGGACATGTAAATTGGGCCCATTTCTGGCCTTATGGAGCTTCTGGGAGGCCCATTTTTCACCCTCTCCAAGCCTCCATGTACTTACCTGGCATCCAAAATGGGCCAGGTGGAGACTCCTGGGAGGTGGGCAGCGCCAGCCAGGGGTGGGATTTACTCGTTCACTGTACCAGTAATTAAAAATGATCAAATTAGCTACCGGTTCGACCGAACCAGGGCGAACCGGTAGACGCCCACCCTTGGCTTCTAGTCCAACTCTTTGCTCAAGCAGGAAAACTTACACCAGGGGTGTCCAACCTTGGCAACTTTAAGACTTGTGGACTTCAACTCCCAGAATTCACAAGTCTTAAAGTTGCCAAGGTTGGACACCCCTGACTTACACCATCCCAGACAAAAGGCTGCCCACTCTCTTCTTCAAAACCTCCAGTGTTCGAGTCCCCACAACGTCTGGTGGCGAGCCGTTCCACCGGTGAATGGTTCCAACACGCAAAAGACTCCCGTCCTTCCCTTCTCCTCTCCTCCCTCTGCCCCGAGGGGCCTGACCGATTTCCCCCTTTCCCCGCAATGCCCAGGGAAGAGGCCACCCCCCCTCCCTTCCTGCCAGCCCGGGTTCGAGAACTTCAGCTGCTTCAGCTGGCACCGCGGGGTGAGGTTGGCACCCGCCTGAGCTGTGACTCTGCAGGCATCTAGGCGAAAGCGTGGAGAAATCCAGAGCTTTGGGCTGAGGGACAGGCGGCAGCTGTTGGCACGAGCCGCTGGCACGGCTGAGTAAAGCCCTCTCCCCATTTCTTTCCTTCCCTCCAGGCCAAGGTGGTTGCCAACAACGACAAGAATCGGACTTATTCTGTCTCCTACGTGCCCAAGGTGGCCGGTTTACACAAGGTGAAATGACCGTCTCCTGTCCCCGGGGCGGGCGGGGGGGTGGCGAGAAGGATGGAGGGGGGGGGAGTGACCTCTGCAGACGGATATCTCCCTTTAAAAAAAAATGCAGACCGCAATAAAAGTATTTATTGTGAATACAATAAAAATATTTATTGTGGAGCCCCTCGACTTACCCAACCTTCGTTTAGTGACCGTTCAAAGTTACAACGGCATTGGAAAAAAGTAACTTAGGACCATTTTTTTTTACTCTGATGACCATTGCAGCGTCCCTGTGGTTGCGTGATTAAAATTCAGAGGCTCGGCAACTGGCGTGTACTTATGATGGTTGCGGTGTGTCCCTGGGGTCACCCCCTTTGTGACCTTCGGACGAGCCGAGTTAACGAGGAAGCCAGATTCGTTTAACAAACCCTGTTACTACAATCTGAAGATTTCATCTTACTTTTATATATATATATACTTAACTTTTATATAAAGACACGTTAGGGCTTATTTTCCAGTTGGGTCTTATTTTGGGGGAAATATGGCACTTAATGCATCCGTCTGTCTGACAATCTTAACTGGGGTTTATTTTTGGGGGTAGGGCTTATATTACGAGCATCCTGAAAATTTCATGCTAGGGCTTATTTTCCAGTTGGGTCTTATTTGGGGGGAAACAAGGTATATACACTCCTCCCCCGAGATGTCATGTGACTGCTTTTGACGGCAGCTTTGTCGAAAAGTGGTATTTATTTCCAGTTTTCAGTCAAAGCAGCCTCATTGGTTCACTTAACGACCACAGCATTTGCTTAACGGCCACTGCAAAAAAAGGTCATAAAAATCAGGTTGGTCACCCACTACTCCTGATTTATAACCGTCGCAATTGATGCCCACGAGGGGCAGGCTCCGTGACGATCATAAGTCGATGTGGTTTTTCCTTCTTGCTTCTGATCTTGCAACAGGGAGGCAGTCCAAGTCAGTTTCTCGCTCTTTGCTGGGTTGTCTGATTTGTCCTGATTTTTCCCTCTGCCAATTCCCACCCAGGTCACTGTCCTTTTTGCGGGCCAAAATATCGATCGGAGCCCCTTTGAAGTCAACGTGGGCATGGCGCTCGGGGACGCCAGCAAGGTGACTGCCCGTGGACCAGGCCTGGAGCCCGTGGGAAACGTGGCCAACAAACCCACTTACTTCGACATCTACACCGCAGGTAATGGCGGGGGGGGGCTTAAATCAGGTAGGGCGAACAAGGAAAGGCACATTGCTTTGCCTAATACAGGTAGTCCTCAACTTACAACACTTTGTGATCATTTGAAGCCACTAATGACCAATCCTCAAACTTATGACCACCACAGTGTCCCTACGGTTACATGAACAAAATTTGGCGTGTTGGTCATCAGCGTGTATTTGTGAGGGTTGTGCTAACCGGGGGGGGGGTCACATGATCGCCTTTTGGGACCTCCCCAACCAGCTTCCAACAAGAAAACTTAGGAAGGGAAGCTGGGCTCATTTAATGACCAGTGGATTCTTGTAACCACTGCAGCGATTTGCTTAATGATCGTGACAAAAATGGTCGCAAAATCAGATGTGACTTCCTTAACGACTTCCTTGTTTAGCAGTTGAAATTCTGGTTTCTCTCATCGTCGTATGTCGAAGATTACCTGTATATATTTGGGGGAGTCAAAAGACATCTCCTAAGCCATCCAGGCAGCTAATGTGTGGTATGGTGGCCTAGAGGTGGAACTCTCACCTCGCAATCAGGAGGCTGTGAGTTCGATCCTAGATAGAGGCGGATATTTTTCTCTCTCCGAGCACAATGAGAATATATCTGCCGAACAAAACTCCTCATTGGCAAAAGGAAGGGCATCCGGCCAGTAAAACGCTCAGCTCCATTCAGTTGCTCAGACTCCACCCCGCAAAGGGATTACAGAGTCATTAAAAGAAAGAAAAAGAAAAAATTCAGATAGCTAACAGGGATCTTCCGTCTGCAGGAGCGGGGGCCGGTGATGTGGGGGTGGTGATCGTGGACCCCCAAGGACGCCGGGACACCGTGGAGGTGGTCTTGGAAGACAAAGGAGACAATATTTTCCGCTGCACTTATCGGCCCATCCTGGAGGGTCCTCACACCATCTATGTGACCTTTGCGGGGGCTCAGATCCCCAAAAGCCCCTTCACGGTCAATGTGGCAGAAGGTAAGACCCTTCCCCTCCCCTCCCCAGCTTTTCTGGGGTCCCCTCTTCCTCTCTTCTGTCTCTCTTCTCTTCCCACTGACCCTCCCCCGCCATGCTTGTTTTGCCATCTCTAATGACCTCCTGACCACTAAACCAGAAGGTTTCCCCCTACCCCCCTTGTCCCATGGAGACCACTGACCAAGCTTATCCAAGTACGGGAGATCCAAAGGTGGCCATGAGAAGATCTCCAGATCTTCTCGGTTCCGGCCCCCCGTTCAAACAGGAGGCTGACTCGGGCCGCCGAAGCGATCCGGTTGACGCCTCTCTGCCAAATCTCCCTCACAGAGTTGTTGTTTTGAGGGAGACCCTCTTTTTTGGTGGGGTGGGGTGGGAAGAAGGTGCGACATGAGCATGGACCCAAAATTGCACCGTTATCTGAACACAGCGGTCTCCAACGTCTCTGGGTTTGCAGACGGTAGGAAGGCGGGGGGGGGGGAAGGAGATGGTTCGGCGCGAGCAGCAAGAGAGGATGCGCGTGGAGTCCCGTCTGGGCAAGCAACAGGCGCGCACGCCCACGGCACGCACAAATGGAGTTTCGCACGGGTGTGTAGTTGCCCACTGCTTATGCAAGTGGAGCAGTGGTGGGATTCAAATTTTTTTTTTTTACCACCGGTTCTGTGGACGTAACTAGGTGGGCGCGCTTTGCGTGCACGCCCAGGGTTTGCTACTGACTTTCTCCTGCAATCCTGCACTCTCCCCTGTGACTTCGACAGCTGATGCGCGGCAATCCTCTGTGCCACGCAGCTGAGCTTCAGAACCAGAAAATAAAGGTCAGAATACAGCCGAGGGCCCAACGGCTGATCCTCGGGGCTACCGGTTCGAACAAACCATGCCGAACCGATACAACACCGTCACTGAAGTGGAACTACACACATGTGCTTGCCTGCGGCTTCTGCAGCCCGGGTCTGAACGGGCCGCGCATCGGGATTGTGTACCTCTGTTTTAAGGGGTGCTCTTCTTTCAAAGCTAAGCACCCACCTCCCCCGTTTCCATGCTGGAGAAGGAGGGAGATTCCTTAGCATGACGGAGACCTGTCCCACTGATATAAGGCAGCACAGGCAGCACAGTCCTCAACTTACAACGGTTCATGTAGCGACCAAAGTTGCAACGGCACTGAAAAAACTGTGACTTATGACCGTTGTTCACACCTACAGCCGTTGCAGCATCCCCGTGGCCACCTGATCACAGTTCTGACGGTCGGCAACGGGTTCGTATTTACGATGGTCCTGAGGTCACATGATTTTGCAACCTTCTGACCAGCAAAGTCCATGGGGAATCCAGATTCACTCAACGACCGCGTTACTGACTTCACCATTGCAGCAGTTCACTTAACGACCACGTTACTGACTTCCACCATTGCAGGGGTTCACTTAACAACTGTGTTACTGACTTCACCAATTGCATTGATTTACTTAATGACTGTGGCAAGAGAAGGTGTATAAAATGGGGCGAAACTCACTTAGCCAATTTGCCCTGCTTAGCCACGGCCAACTTTGGGCTCGATTGTAGTCGGAACTCGAGGACTATCCTGTACTTGTGGTTCAGGGTTGAAGTGTGGGGAAGCTGGCTGGGGAATTCTGGGAGTTGAAGTCCACCGACTTTCAAGTTGTCGAACGATCAACACCGATTCAGAGGATTTTTAAAAAGGGCCGAGTGTTTGCTCTCAACCCCTGGAAAGGGAACTTGTGCAGGAGTACTGGTCGTCCTCGCCTTACGACCACAACTGAAACCCCACATTTCTGTTGCTAACTGAGACATTGAAGTGAATTTCGCCCCAGGTTACGATCTTCCTCGTTGTCATTGTTCAGTAAATCCCTGCAGTGGTTCAATTAGAAACACGGGGAGTTTGCTTCCCCGTGGAGTTTGCTCATCAGAAGGTCACAAAAGGGGATCAGGAGACCCTGGGGACATGGGAACCGTCATAAATACGAGCCAGTCGCCAAGCCTCTGAATTTTGATCATGTCACTACAGGGAATGCTGCAACAGCCGTAAGTGTGAAAAACGGTTGTAAGTGTAAAAAAACGGTTGTCAGTCACTTTTCTTCCAGCGCTGTTGTAACTTTGAACAGTCACTAAGTAAGCTGGTTGTAAATGTTGAGGAGGACTCAAATCATCCTCTTCCAATCCCTGTCCGTTGCGTCCGCATACTGGACTTCAGTAACCTTCACCCCCAGCCTCAAGAGTTGGTCTTTGCGGTCCGAGCCATTTTGCCTCTGCTTTGCTGCCTTTCCGCCCAGTCTTGGGGCCCGGGGATCGACCTGGGAGCGGCCCATCATCCCCTGCTTTCCTGCAGGGAAAAACAGGAACCGTTGACACATCGGTGCTTCCTGCCTCCTACGACCCCACCCTGCACAAATATTTTTCCTAGATTTCCAACCTAACTCCCGGAAACGGCTCGGCGTACTTTCAATGCAGCTGTTTTTCATGTCTGTTTTATTGCTTACCATGTTTCCCTCCCCCCGCCCCCAAATTACAGGTAGTCCTCGGCTTACAACAGTTCACTTAGCGACCATTCAAAGTCACTAAACGGCACTAGAAAAAAAAGAGAGACTCAAGGCCATTTTTCATGCTTACAACGGTTGCAGCGTCCCTGCGATCCAAATTCGGATGCTGGCTTGTATTTACGACGGTCGCGCAGTTCCCCTTTTGCGACCTTTCTGATGGGCCAAGAGGGAAGCCAGATCTGCTTCACGATGGGCAGGCTCCCTTGCAGGCGTAAGTCGAGGACTACCTGTATGCGAGCCAGATCACCGTTCTTCTTTGGAAGCCCAGTGAGAAAAAAATCTCCATTTGTGTCTGTTTTTGTCTGGGTGTCAACTTCATTTCTCATGTAAGAGGGCCACGGAGCAAAACGTTTTTTGTAAAATAAGCCTGCAGCAACTCACACCCCGGGGGAGGAAAATCACTCTAAACATGCTCAGAGGCAGCGATGGGATTGAACTGGTGTAACAACCGGTTCGGTGTGTGTGATCTGAGCACGTGCTCTTAATGTTTGCAAACCACCCATTTTCAGCTCTAATACTTACCTTCTGCTGCAACCTGGGTGAGTAAAACAGCTGAGGCCTGGCCATCCACTGTGCTGGGAGGATCAGCTGGGCCGTAAAACATGGAAATATAGGACAGAGTAGAACAGGGATTGCCAACCAGTAAGCCGGGGACCACTGCTGGTCCATGAGAAAATGTTGGTGGTCCACAGAGAAACGCCCCCCCCAAAGCAATTAAGCCAGGCTGCGCGGGAACACAAGGCAGCACCGCCCACATGGCCGGTGGGAACACAAGGCTTGTGTCGCTTGCATTGCGAACAACACGAGGTAGTGAGGGGAGGGGGAAAAGGGCGGAGGGGAGGAACTTGCCCCATGTGCCCCATGCACCTGGCCTGGCCACCGGGCTGCTTTTTCTCCGCTTCTTTCTTCTGCTTTTGGCTGCATGCAAGGAAAGCAGCAGAAGTCTTTCTTTCTCTCCCCCAAACTCCGCCAGAAATGAGTCTTTGGGACCCTGCAAGGCCTCCTGCTCCAAAAGGCTGCAAAGACTCGCTTCTGGTGGAGTTTGGGGGAGAGAAAGAAAGACTTCTGCTGCTTCTGCTGCTTTCCTTGCATAAAGCCAAAAGTCTCTCCCTCTCTTTCTCTCTCTGTACTCCTGAGAACGGAGCTGGAGACGGTATCCTGCGATCCCAAATAAAGAACAATCAATCGGTAGGAAAACGGGGAGGGGGATTTTCCTGCAGACTTTTTTTGGGGGATTTTCTCAGGGTCTCTGATCTGCAGGATTTAAAATTATGAGTTTGGTGGTCCATGAGTTCCAAAAGATTGGCGACCCCTGGACTAGGGTAGGGGTGGGTGGGAGGGGCCAACGAATCGCCGGAACAACTGGTTCGCTTGAACTGGTCTGAACTGGCTGAATCCCACCCCTGCTCAGAGGCAACCCTGAGCTTGGAATGAGCTGGAAGGACGTTATGACAGGTGTCCCCAATTCCCAGGCCGCATCCCACTTACGGGCCGTGTAGAAGCAACGGGTGAGCGTAAACGTGCATAACTCCACTTGTGCGAGCAGCGAGCAAGTGCGTGCATGCTCACAGCTTCATTTGTGCAAGCGGTGGGCCCGCGCGCCCACCCCTCTCGTGCAAATGGAGCTGTGTGCGCGCAAGCACTCATCCATCGCTCGTGCGTAATCCTTCCTTCTCCCTCCCCACCCGCCGGTCCACAAACCTGGAAATTTGGGGGAATGCTGTTCGTTGCCCCCTTTAGGGCAGGGCTCTCCAACCTTGGCAGCTTTAAGACTTGTAGACTTTTACTCCTGGGAGTTGAAGTCCACAGGTCTTAAAGTGGCCAAGGTTGGAGACCCCTGCTTTAGGGAGTTCAACGTTCCCATTTCACAGAGGGGCAAACTGAGGCCACAAGACCAGTGCCTCCCCTTCTAGCTGAGCCCTTCTGCTTTTGAGGGGGTCTCCGTTCTCTCCTCCCCAAACTAGCTTCCGGCCACAAACCCCCTGGGCTTCCTTGCCTCCCCTGGGGGGTCTACTCACCCCCCTCTCCCCCTTTACTAACCCTTCTCTCTTCCCTCCGGCCCCTGCAGCGCCGCCTCCTGCTCCCCCACCTGGTGTCTCCCCCATTCAGATCATCCCTCAGTCCGTCTGTACCCCACCTGCCGATGCCAAGAAAATGCCACCCCCCACTCTGCCCAAGCCGCATAAACCAAGTTAGTAAAAACGCCCACTCGGCTTATCATCTGCATTTGAGCGTCTTTGGCATGGGTGAACATGGCATGGTCATCCTGGTTTCCTTCTGAATGCTTCCTAGCCAGGATGGTGAACTGGGGTTAGATGCAAATGTTGCCCGTTGTTTTTAAAATGGATGCTTAAGCAACCCCGGCAGAGCTTAAAGATGTTGGGAAATGTTTGCACGATCCAGGCATCCTCACTCTAAGATGGGTGGACTTCAACTCCCAGAATTCCATAGGATAAACCAGGAATCTCCAAGCTTAGCAATACTGAGACTGATGGACTTCAACTCCCAGAATTCCATAGGCTAAACCAGGAATCTCCAAGCTTAGCAACACTGAGACTGATGGACTTCAACTCCCAGAATTCCATAGGCTAAACCAGGAATCTCCAAGCTTAGCAACACTGAGACTTACGGACTTCAACTCCCAGAATTCCATAGGTTAAACCAGGAATGGACTTCAACTCCCAGAATTCCATAGGATAAACCAGGAATCTCCAAGCTTAGCAACACTGAGACTTACGGACTTCAACTCCCAGAATTCCATAGGTTAAACCAGGAATGGACTTCAACTCCCAGAATTCCATAGGTTAAACCAGGAATGGACTTC